CCTCGTGATCGCTTAATAAAGTCGTAATTAAACCGAACCATCCTTTCATTTTCAGTCTTTTGCTTTCGACATTCTTTATCTTAACCGTTGACCGAAAACGCTCGTCAACAGACTCAAAATGACCTGAACCCAAAAGACCCTTATTATATAAAGAACGAACTTTATTCGAAGACGCATGCCCAAGACGAAGATGACACTGGAAACTAGACTTACTATCGGTGGCAGAAGCAGAAAAAGCGTAAGAACGAGGGACATGAAGTGACTCAAGCTCAAATAATCGGCCCGTCTTGCGACCTTTCCCGAGAAGCTGTCCCGTCTGTGAATCCTGAACCTGAACACCAGAAGATGAAAATATAACATTAAGACCTTGGTCAACCAATTGACCAACAGAAATAAGATTCAAGGCCAAGTCAGGAATGCATTATGTGTCGGGAAGATGCAAGGAAGGGGAAGAAATCAAACCAGTGTGAGTAACATTCATAAGAGTACCATTAGCAGTATGTATAGGAGGTAAAGAGGTTACGGAAGACGAGGAAGACAAAAGTTGCGGGCTAGAGGTCATGTGATTGCAACAGCCAGAATCAAAATACCAATGTGATTTACCTCCGGTAGTAGACATAGAAGAATTGGAAAGAAGAACCTGTTTGACAATAGCCTCTATGTCTTGAAGAGTGTAAGGTGAATGCTGAGACTCAGTAGTGACAACTGCTGTAACAGAAGAAGTGGCGGTTGAGGAAGACCCATGATGTCGAAAGAATGAACCTCTCGAACGGTGTGATCTGGCTGGACAATATGTAGCAATATGACCCCGAATATGGCAAATGTGACATACCACCGTAGGACAAAATGGAGCAATATGACCCTGAACATGGCAAATGTGGCAGACCACCATAGAAGAATCCATATCCAAAAAATAAAGAAGCACCAGCAACCAGAAACAGTACGAAGACAAAAGAAAATCACGAACTGGAACACAAACCGGATAAAATAGCAGTAAAAAGTCGAAATTAAAAATGGCACGAAAACCAAAACCGACCACACCAGGACGTAGCCGCCGATGAGAGGAGTCGACGGCTGAAAAATCACGGCGATCGGAGCTGGGGGTGAATCTCACGCTCCGGCTGAAGCTGCCAGCACTGTCGCAATATTCCGGCGAGTGTGGGCCTCACGCGCCTCCGAACGGGCCCAAATTTTGACCGACGTCTCGCTGGAAGATGACGGAGAGGATGGTCTGGGAGGTGAGAATAGAAGACATCCGGAGACGAGCGAAAAATACTAACCCTATATTGGACTATAAACCTAGTATGATACCATGTAAGAAAGTGAGAAAAATATATGTTCTATATTATTCACAAGACATGTACACATATATATAGGAACATAATGAGCCTAAACCTAATCCTACAAGATATATACAAAATATATTATAACCATATATACAAAATATATTCTAACATTGAGTATACCTGTAGAGTTGGAAAAGTAATAAGTTTTCTGTGCAATGGCTTATCCCAGTGTCATTGAAATAATTAAGAGGTTCATTTAGGATGGCAAACAAAGATGGCTGATTTTCTTTTCTATCATTAAAGAATCATGTAATTTCATGATACTTGACATGGAAAATGCCTTATTAGAGTGATTTATGTTACAAAATAAGTTTCTTGTACTATAGTAATCACTCAAACCAGTAGTTTTGCATTAGTTTTGCTATGGAGCTATCGGATGGCTCGACTCATCTATAGTTATTAATAAATGATGTCAATAAATATATATTGGACATGTGTCAATACATAAAGTAATGGATAATTTCATAAGAGAGCTATCCGATGATTCCATAGAATTTCTGTTCAAACCATTTGTATGAAAAGGTCTAACTAGCCATAGGAGATGTTCTGAAACATGAATGCCATTGAATCCAAAAAAAGAAAAAAGAAAAAAATCTAAATTGTGTTATATAACAAACTTTTGTACGGCTGGCCTATATCATTAGGTGGATCGTGAATAAAATATATTTTATATTATTAAATTTTATGTTTTTGCTTATATTTTTTTTCTTAAATCATTAGGTGGATCGTCTCGCTTGTAAATAAAAATGGCCAATTTCAATGTTGCTTTACATTGCAATTTCACTTCATAGTAATATGAAAAATTTGTTCTAATGTTAGTGCTGCATTTTTGCTCTACTTTAAAAATGTGAACATTATTGACTTATTGTGCTACATGCAGCGCGATGCTATTCACTGCACTACAAATTTTTTTCGTCAAATATTAATTTTATGATTGATTTTTATTTCTAACTATTATTTTAAAAAGATACACCAATAAAATTATTTATGTTGTTAAATAATTTTAAATTTTTGTTTTATAGTTGTTTAAATTTTATTTTGTACTAACATATTTCATGTAAAATGTAAACCGAACGACGAGAGACGAAAGTTAAATTTTAGATTCTCCACTCTAAAGTAAAGTAAACTCTACATTGTAGTAGAGTATATATGATCGGAGATTGTCTTATATTGTTAAATGTTATGCCTTTGTTTGTTTTCTTTTTTAGATTACAAACTGTTTTAAGTAAAAGCATGCATATAAATGGAAAAAAACATGTCTTCCTAATAATTAGGTCAACCTAATAAAAGAACTAATGTATGTATCAAACAAAAACAAAATATAAATTTTACATGAAAACATGACTAATATGCCCAAAAGTTGAGTTAAGAGCCTAGCGCTGGAAATGAATCGAGGAGCTTGAGTTTGACTGAGCATGAGTCGAGCTCCTGCACCACGAATTTGAGCTGAACTGGAGCATGTTATTCATGAACACGGGCGCTCGACAAATCACTTGAGTATAAATATAATTTATCTATACACCCTCAACACAAGCTAAAACTCAAGCAAATTTGACCAAAATTCTTATTTGGATAGTAATATTTTATAAAAAATTTGAGCCGATTTCGAGCTAAATGTGAGATGATGAAAGATGGGGCGATCTCAACATTTGTATACTGCTATCGAGCCAAGCCTTGTCTTAAGAAGTCAAGAGCCCGAACATTCGTAAAATAAAAATAGTTCTAACCCGATAAGACCAATGTTCGGCTCGTTTACCATCGGTGAGGTCCAAAACCGGAATAAGCGCTCCATCCCATGGAAGTTCACTAAACGCGTTGCTACTATGACGATTTCCAAAAAGAACGGCTTACGGAGCCGTTAAAATTACAGCACTGTAACTCTCACCCATCACACCGGAGAAGATGATCAAGAAGCGAATCCTGATAATCGGCGGCACCGGCTACCTGGGCCAACACCTCCTACGATCTTTCTCCGACAACTCAGATGCAGATTTTCCCTTGGCCCTCGCGTTCACGCACCACTCGAATCCTCCTCCTCAGGCGCTGCTCGATGCTGTTCCTCAAGCTCTCCCGTTCCACGTCGATCTGAGCACCGGCGGCGGCCTCGGCTCTATTTTCGATGCTTTTGGCCAGGTATGAGCTTCCTCATTCTGCTCCGCGTGAGGTTATGGCCTCTCAATAGCTCAATGATTTTTTATTTTTATTTATTTTTAAGTTGTTTCATCAGGATGATGGTTTGTTTGGAGTATGTGCCATTGTGCTACTTTATGTTTCTCTTGTGCGCTCAAATCTGGTGCCATTTTCGTTTGATTGACCTTTTCATTGGGTTTATCTGTGGACTATGCATTTAGGTGGTTTATTAAGGTTTTTGTGGGTGAAATTTTTGGAAGTTGGTTAGGTATGTTGTTTGTGAAAAGGCCTTGGTTGTGTAGAACTGATTTTGATTTCAGCCAGACGTGGTGATCAATTGTGCTGCTCTTTCTGTGCCCCGAGCGTGCGAGATGGATCCGGAAGCTGCCATGTCTGTGAATGTCCCTACAGCTCTAGTGAAATGGTTGTCGAGCTTTGGAGAGAGTACTCTTCTGATACATTTGTCGACTGATCAAGGTTGATTTCAGTTTTTAAATGTTGTGTTTTTTTTTTTTTTTTCAAAAATGTAGATAAATTGTTGAGGAATTACCATGCCAGGATGATGCTTGGAAGTTCTTCTGCACATTTCTTGTTTTTCTTGATTTCTTAGAATGCATTTTTCCACACTATGAACTTCGATTTACTAACTTGAAGCAACTAATGGATATATTTAACCAGTTTAATCTTCTTCTTTATTCAACATCCATTTTTTAATTTGTTGGAAGGGCCAATTGAAATGTTCTTCACTAGCATTCTCGATTCTCGAACTAGTCTCTTTGTTTCCACACCATTGCCTCAGAAACACCTAAGGAGCAGAATGTTTTTCTTAAAAAAAAAAATGGACACCAATGTAATGTTTCACTTTTATATTCTTCAGTCTGTATCTTGAAATTAAATTGGATTTTCTGCAGTTTATGAAGGGACAAAATCCTTTTACAAGGAAGAGGATGAGACTGTCCCGGTGAATGTTTACGGAAAATCTAAAGTCGAGGCAGAACATTATATATCTGGGAACTGCCGGAACTTTGCAATTTTGAGAAGCAGTATAATCTATGGACCTCAAACTATCTCTCCTGTTCCTAAATCTCTTCCAATCCAGGTGTGTGAAGGACGAAGTGCTGAATCTTATCCTTAAGTCAATTGAGTTTTTGTATAGTAAAAGCTTTTCAGTAAAAATCCTTTGTACATAGAGGTACAAGAATAGTTCAGTCTATCATTGTTGTTGAACAAATTACAAATGTTAGTGGTAATATCTGTGGTTCAGTGGATGGATAGTGTCCTTGCTAAGGGAGAGGCATTGGATTTCTTTCATGACGAGTTTCGATGTCCTATTTTCGTGAAGGATCTTGTTGCTGTAGTACAGACGTTGACTAAACAATGGATCTCAGGTTAGAGCCTCGAGGCTTCTGCATTCTAGTAGTCCCTGATAAGTTTTAGTCAAATTAGCTTTGAAGAATTTGTTTATTGCATCTACAGATTTTAAATGTGCAAGTGTCATGCCGAAGGTTTCACTCACAACTAATATAATTTATGACCCTTTCTTGAAGTGCTTTCTCTTATGACTTGTCTGTTGACATGATGATTATAATTCTTAATGATTTTGTAGAGGCTAAGCAAATGCGATTGGTCCTTAATGCTGGTGGCCCAGATAGGGTATCACGGGTTCAAATGGCTGAGGCAGTTGCACGTGTCAGAGGCTATAGTACGTCACTGATCAGACCAGTGTCTGCCTCCTCAGTATGTTTATAAAAGACTTCTGCCTGTATCTCGGTTAAGCATTAGGCATCATCTATCTAAAACCAAAGAGAAAGAGGGAAAACTAAAGCTTCTTGACGAATATTTAAAAACCTTTGAAGTCTAGTCTAATTTACAGAAAAGGAAAAAACCATAGACAGAGAGTGATCTTTCGAACTCACAAACTTGAATTGTGTTTCGGGGTTATTTTGCATAAAACAATTTGAAATCACATAAGGTGTGTTTAAACTTTTAAGTTTTAAACGGTAATTGGATTGTTGAGTAACTAAACTAAAGTTCAATGGTTTTTAACAAGACATTTCGTGTGGATTCAATAATTCCCCTCTCGCTCTCTCTCATCTCGATTCTTCCGATTATTAGGTTGATCGTGGTGTCAGGTCTCCTTCAGATATTTCCATGGACATCAAGAAGCTGCTTCAGACAACAGGTATTTCTCCAACTCCTTACACAGAAGGTGTCAGATTGACTCTTGAGGCTGAAAGTCGTCTATAGTTTGGTACCGACATGGTGAACAAACTGTTTTATAAAGACAGTTCACTGTGATTGAACCCGAAAGGTTAAAGTGAAAAAAAAAAAAAAAAATACTACTTCAAAGCTTCAATGTTTCTTACATTTACTGCGTATTCTGAGTTTATGATCAAATGTAAAAACAGACATCATTAGCATGTTGAGGACTGATTTACTGATTTACAGCGTTTGAGGGCTTCGGGCCAACGTTGATTTTTAGCCAAATTGCCCATATCAAACTTTAAAGGGAAATGCTAAATGCAACATTCCCGTTACGGAACCATTCCGTCGGGGTTTATATAAGATCAACTATCCTCGACGGTTACATGATGATCTAACGGTAAAAACCCTAACGGAATGGTTCCGTAACGGGACCGTAGCATCTTCCAACTTTAAATACTTCACTTGTTAGTTGTTACATCAAATATCAAACCAACCTTAATTATATATACATCAAATATCAAACCACCCTTAATTATATATAATATCTATTTTATTTACTTACAATTTGAAAAATAATTTACTCTTCCGCATATTGTTTTTCTAACCTCCCTATTGTTTTGGCATAACGATTTTTTTTTTTTTTTTTAAATCTGTATTCAATCGCCCCTAGAACAATTACGATTGACAATTAACGTTTAATTATAATCAACTTTAACCATTAGACCGCTTGAATATTGATTAGAATAATCTTAAATGAAAAGAAAAATAAATGCTACTTAAAAAATAATTTTTCATTAAGTTGTGGCTTTCCTAACAACACTAGTGATAAACCCGTGCATTTGCACGGAGAAAAGTACGTAGAAAAGATAATAATATAAAAATAAAAAACAAAAATACATAACCACAATTCAATTCATGAAAAAAATATGACTTAAGAAAATGATTTTAAATTTTATTAAACATATTTGTTTGTATACAACATTCATGTCTTTCCTATCGTCGGAATCACCATCACCACATATCATTATCATCAAACGCTTTTCATTCGTAACTCTAGGAAGAGAAACGTACAACTGTCCATAACTGAAAACAGAGTTGTTCAAGATTAAGCGGACGTGTGAGAGTGATTGGTCTTGACTCTTGTTGATCGTCATAGTATATGAGACCATGATAGAAAATTGTATGCGTTGAAACTTGAATGGTACCCTTAAACAAATAAAGAATAATAAAAAATGTGCCAAATTTATTATAATTGTCAGCAAATGTAAACATTTGGATCGAAATTATCTATTGAACGAATAATTGCATTATAAACAATTGTTGAATTGAGTTGGATAATATATTAATAAAATATGGTGAATTGGGCTTAATTTTTCATTAAAAACTTTATAAATGTGGCTTGGGACGATATTCTCAATAAGTCTATTGGTTTTAACTTAAACATTTTTTTTTGCTTTACCAAATCATATTGGCAGATCACGCGTTTTTTTTTCTGTGAAAAATATCCAAGATCTCATTTTTTTATCAATTTTTGTCGATAATCATATCAGTTTCTTTGTTTTTTCGGTCAGATATTCTGATCCAATTCTAATTTTTTTCGAAAAATAAAAATTTTCAAACAAAACCGAGATATAACTTCAAAATCATTCTGATTTTGTAGTCTCGTTTTACTAAATCATAGTAAAAAAGTGCAAATCGTCCAATTACATAACATATCTATCAATATCTGGAATTTTTTGTTTTGATTTAAGGTTGTCGTCCTTATTTGGCTAAAATGCTTCAATGAATCATAGGAAATTGTTTCAATCAGGCGATTATAACGAATCTATCAAGATCTGTAATCTTTGTTAAGAATTTGTGATTTTTTTATTTTTTCTATAAAACCGTATTTTCAGTTAATTTTGGAAGTCGATTGTTATTTTCTTGTCGTCCCTATTTTGCTAACATACATCAATAAATTATAAGAAAATGGTTCAATAGGGCTACGATTCTATCGAGATCTGTAATGTTTATTGAGAATATATATTCTTTTTAAAAAAATTATTTTTTAGTTGATTTCAGAAGTAGATTAGATATAAAATCTTATTTTAGTGTTTCTTTTGCCGTTTTATTTCAAAAAATTTGAAATATCTACATAATTTGATGTCTTTTGCTCAAAACATAGATTTATTTTTGCAAATAATGAACGAATATTGTTATATTTAATGATGTTCTTATGGTTTTCTGAAGAATATACATGTTGTTGGTTGCAACAATCGATCTGCACATACATATGATCCATGTGTCCGGTTTTCAAATTAAAAAAATATCTTTAAGTACACTTCCTTTCTACTCAAAAATTGTTAAAATAAGGCTTTACTGTTTATTTATGTTGTTTATTAAATATTTTACTTTAATTTTAAGGATGTGCGATCGAACAAAGACAAAAGCACTAAAAAATAGAAAATAAAAAATAAAGCAACAAAAAAAGTAAATAAAAAATATTATTCTTGAATTTGTAGGGAATAAATGGAAAGTACAATGACAACAAAAACCACGACTCAAGAGGCCAACCAGAAAACCAAAAAAAAAAGTTCATCAAGATCAGATTTTTTTTTTCAGCTAAAAAGGTAAAAAAAACTAAATTATTTAACCAATATAAATAAGAAAAAATGGTCATTATATACATTTTTAAACTTTCCGAGTAAATAAGAGATATGGTAATTACAACAAAACCCATGACACATAGGGAGATAATGTAATTTAATGCAGAACAATAAAATTAAATAAGAGAAATGGTAATTGCTTTAGTCGGAAAATGAAAACTAATAATATTAAATGCTGAAACTTTTTGCGGGATAATAGAAATTAATGCAGGATAATAAAATTATATGATGTGTTTCTCAAAATTATATATAAATAGATATAGAAATAATAATCAACTTGTGCAATTGCACATAGAATAATACTTAAAAAAGACCAATATAAAAAAAAAAAATCATAATTTAATTCATGAAAAAAATATGAAATAAGAAAATGATTCTCAAAATTGATTTTGATCAAGTAATTGCTATGGAAGAGTCGTTACCAATTTTTTATGCTAATACATCCGGCAAATTTCATGAGTGAGTGTGACTTAAAATTTAAGTTCAATTTTGTAACTCCCTTGATTCATTTATGCTCATAGTTTATGGCATTCAAATAAGTTATTTCATAACTTAAAAATAAAATTGAATGTTGAAAAATTTGGAGGGAGAATAAAATTTAATGCATGGTAATAAAATTAAATGTTGTGATGCTCCAAATTATATATTTATAGATTTGATGCAAAATGATGGAAAATAAATGCAAATGAAAAAAATAAAACATACATTTCAATCGTTTTCAATCGTCCGATTTCATAATTATCAAACAAATAAAAATATTAATAATAAATATCAATAAATAAGGACCCAGATTTTTTTAAATAAATAATTTTACCTTCAGTATTACAGTAAAAGAATGAATTAACAAAAAAAAAAAAAA